GAAGTTTGTACTTTAAGGATAGTTTCCTAAATAAAAACGGGAGATACTATGACATTGTCTTGATCTAAAGTTGTTTCTTGAACAATGTTAAGTATAAAAATATGATTCTGATCATTGTCAAGAACAACTGAGGAAATAGGAATATTGACTTACTCCTCTTTAAAGACAAGGTCTCGAACTCTTTCTCCCATTGCAAACTCAACATCCTCAAAGAACTGGGTATTTTTTTTCTAAAAAATGATCTTAGTAGTAAAATCATAAAACTTGTAACCTTGAATCACTCAGAATAACCAACAAAATAATAATTAACAATTTTGGAGTCTAGCTTCTTTTCCTATAATCTATAAGGTCTGACCTCAGCTAGACATCCCTATATGTGCAAATGTCTCAAACTAGACATCTTGCCATCCAAACCTCATAAGGGGTCTTCGTAGTCACTTTAGTTGGAACTCGGTTGAGTAAATATGTTGCGGTCTTTAATGCTTCTCCCCAGAGTGATTCAGGTAAGATGGAATGACTAATCATACTCCTCATCATATCCTTAAGTATTCTGTTTTGCCTTTTAGTAACACCATTCATGCTAGGAGGACCGGATATGGTATACTATGGGACAATACCGCATTCCTCTAAGAATCGAGCAAAAGGCCCTAGACGTTGTTCATATGATCCATCAGATTTACCATAGTATTCACCACCACGGTCATATCTAACAGTTTTAATCTTTTTGTTGAACTAGTTCTTAACTTCTATTTTAAAATTCTTGAACACATTCAGGAACTAGGACTTCTCATAAATGAGATATAAGTAGTCATATCTTAAATAATTATCTATGAACGTTATGAAATATTGTTAACCATTTTAAGAAAACGTAGGGAAAGGTCCACAAAGATTTGTATGAATGAGTTCTAATACATCCATAGCCCTGCTGGCATCTAATCCCTTAATATTTGTCTATTTTCCCTTGATACAATAGACATATCTATCAAAATCTGTAAAAGTAAGGGGATCTATAATTTCATCTGACACAAGTCTCTCAATTCTCCTTTAAAAAATGTGACATAATCTCTTGTGCTATAATGAAGTGGAATTCTCCTTGGTTAATTTTCTCTTTATATATCTTATGCCAACATGCAATGATTCATTATAAGAAGTAATTGTATCAAACGAATAAAGATTATCATGTGCAGATAAAGAATTAGAACTAACTAAATTTAAATTAAGAAAAAGAATAAATTTTTCATTTCTAAATGAACATGAATAACCAAATTTATTCAATACAGAAATAGAAATCACATTCTATCTAAATGATGATATAATAAAAGTATCTTCTAAATCTAAATAAAATCTAGTCCTTAACAACAATCTAAATTTGCCAATTGTTTCCACGTCGACTGGTTTGCCATCACCCACATAAATAAATCTGGCACCATCACTTGGCATGCGGCAGTGGAGGTAATCCTGCATAGACACACTGATGTGAGTTGTGTGTGACACTAGAATCTATCCATCAGGAGTATGTAGGTATAGAAGTTAAATTTTTCTCAAAACAAACAAAATTAAGAAGCATACATTTCTTTGTGCGCTACACATGATAGTTAACGCATTGCTTCTTCTGGTGTCCCAGAGCTTTACAGAATAAACAAATTTTTTCAGTATGAACCTGTTGTTGCTTCTTCTATTGTACTAGAACTGCAATAGATTTACCTGTTTTCTTTTTCTTGTTTCTCTTATCCTTTGAGATTATTGTAAAATGAACACTCTCTGTCCTCTCATACTTAATTCTTTCCTCCTCTTAAACACAATGTAAAATAAGCTCATTCAGATTTCAAAATTTTTTCTG